CTACAAATATTTTGTTTCTTTTATTAATATAAAATATAGCATAATATATTCATTTGATAACTGTTACATTTATTTATTATTTTCAATAGAATTTTAAAGTAAAGTTATATATTAATTTTTTGTAATAGTAAATAATTTCAATAATTTGTCAATGAACAAAATATAATTTTTAATATAAACAATGCTAGCTGATACCTAAGAGCACAATATTAAGAATGATAAGAAAAAGAAGCTTTCTGTAAGAAATTGTAGTATATTATGTAATATCTGACTCTAAGAAAATTTTGAATAATTTTAAACCACATAGAGTATGGATATTTTAAACAATATCACAAAAACTCTTTGAGGATGACTATCTCTATGGGGTAAAACAAAGCTTATTGTTCAAAGTTATATATTGGATGATTGTAATTAAATGTAAATATAAGATATATACAATAAAATTAATATGCTATATATAAGATGACTCCAAATCCAGTAGTAAGATACCTATTAGCTCAAAAACTATAAAACTTGGTAGGTACTGTACCTCAGAGAATGTATGGAAGACATTTATGAAGTAAAAAAAAATCTTTGACACATTGATAGTGCTATATGATTACCAGCAACCCAAGTCCCTACAAAAGACATATCTATCTTTTGTAGGAACTGTGAACAGTGAGCTGGATTATCTGACTCACAGCTGATGTCAAACATCAGCTGTGAGTCAGATAATCCAGCTCACTGTTTCAATGCACAATGGAATTCTCCATACATTGTTATTTCTGTAATGGAACTGCTTCAAATCTGTTTTGTAAATGAGAGGATTATTGGTTACTATTTCCTTTTAGCATAGTCAACTAATATAAAACTCAACCAATGCAATACGCTTCCTGCCTAAATCAGATGGCGCTATGGTAAAGCACTCTCATGGTGGAAATTTGAAAAATGTAGTTACAAACATGTGTACTTATGTAGATGCAATAAACATAGTTTTAAGATATAATTTTATTTCCTGTCACTTTTTTGGAAGACTTTTTTGTAAAAAATCTATTATAGCAGAAATTAAATTAAAATAAACAAGGCATTTTCATAAAGTTACTTAAAATGTTCAAAAGTAAACAGCTTTTGGTAAATGTATTCCACAAATGCATGTACCTAAATCTAGCTAACAAATTCCATTACAAGTAAATTGCCCAAAGGAAAGTTAATCATCTATATTACATCTCTTTTGATCATTTTTTAAAATGTCATTAAAATTTAATTTTATAAAAATGTATTTGTACTAATACATTTTTATAACAATGTATGTTTTATATTAATATTCTTAATTTTCTCTTTAATGTTTAGTGCAAAATAAAAAGTACATACAAGATTTGCTGTCATCAATATAGGATGTAAGAGAACTGGTAAAAGAATCAACATAAACATAACTTAATGACAGTATATTATTTTTTTCAGCTTAATGACCAATAGAAAATGATTAATGTTTTTTGTTCATGCAGGGTGGGACTTCTTCATAGTTGCAAGCCTGTAGCACATCTTACTTTTTTATTAGTAAAGAAGAAAAAAAAACAGAACAAAGAACAAATTTACTACAAGCTTGGAATAAATCTGTAACTTTAAAAAAGGAATACAAACAAGCAACAAGGCTTAGCCACATTTTTGAAACAAGAGAAAGATAGGAAAACAAATCAATACATATCTCCAGCTGATCCAAATATAGTATACTGATAGAAAATTCTTAAGATATTATCTGCTCAATGAAGAATGTACAGTGAGTGATCGGTTAATGAACAGTTCAGATAGTGAACAAATTGGATAATGAACACTTTCACGAAAGATTTTTATGATCGGACAACAAACACATGTTTGGATAACGAACACTTTACTGAACAAACATAAAAAGTAGCGATGGAAAATAATGAATACCAATTGATTTTCCTTTGTCTTCAGGTAACAATTTGAAACCTTTCGGAGCGCGGGAGACGTCAACATCGACGCTCAACCCGACACCGATCAGATAGTATTCCTCCGAATTTTGAAACTCTCCTTGTGGAATTACAAGCTTTTTGTCTACCTTTCTGACAAATAATTTTTTATAGTCTTCCGACGGGCACTTGTTAAGTTTTGAGTTGGGGTTTATTTACAAAAGGTGAAAGGATAACTGTCCCATCGGATATACGTTAACGTTTTAATACCAAATTTCAAATTTCATCCAGGCCTTGAATTTAAGTAATTTTTTGTGGGCTAGTTGATTTCTGTTCTCTGAATTTTTGTAAGTGCTTTTCTGAAATTTTTATTTAAAAAAGAAACTGATAATATTATGGAGCCTAAAAAGAGGAGTGTCAAGAACTGTGCTCACC